AGATGCTAGCTTAATAATATTTGGGAAAAATGTGTCTTACATGTAATTATTGCATGTAAGGATGATATTTCAGTAAAAACGCCTAAGAATAAAGAATTTTGAGTTGATCTAAACAGGGTTGAAGGAAGGAAAGAAAGAAAGAAAGGTGAGAAAGCTTAAGCCGGAACCGGCAAGCGACTACGTGTCATTGGGTGGTTGACAAGACGCTCTTTGTTGAAAAAAGAAGAAATGTTTTAAAATTAGTAAAGGCAAAACAAAGCCACAGCCACGAGATAAGGCCGTTGGATTTATAGATTTTTTATTTCCTTTCATATATATTATTATTATTATTATCATTATCATTATTATTATTATTATTATTATTATTATTATTATTATTATTATTGCACTTCCTTCTCATGGACGTTCCAATTTATTAACTATATTGTTTCTTCTTTTTTACCCCTTAGACGCTCTTTTCAGGATTGAGGGGAACAGAACACTGTTCACACAATTAACTATTCATCAATAACTAAAAAGTTTAGGTAAAACTACTTTAGATACTATTAAATTTTATATGTTGATTCATTTATATCATTGAACTTTTAATTTTTATAAATTATAACATTATATTCTAGTTATACATTCAATTATGTAACTCTGCGATTAAGTCAATAACGTGACGATGACATGGCTAACAGTTGATGATCTGGCATGCCACACCAAAGCGACGTTGTTTTAGTGTAATTGTTTTGATACCTAAAACGACTTCGTTTTAGACGCTAATATTTAGGTGTCTATTAATTTTGTTATTGAACTTTTAAACGATTTACTTTTTTGGCACTGTACTTTTCGATCACCGTCAACAATCAATCATCGTCTATCATCAATCATCTTTCACGACAAAATAAGTACCAAAATATTCGTAGTTCACTCTTTATTTTTTTGTCCGAATAGTTTTTCATAAAACTCACTCAAAATCCACGAAATTAAACAAAAAATCTATCATTTTTAGATGTTTGGAGACTTTTTAGATTTACGAGATTTGAGGTGTTTGTTCAAAAAACTGAATGGTGAAAAACATTATTTCGAGAATATAAACAACAAACCTCAAAACTAGCCTAACCGGAAGGTGATTGAAAGAAATCAAAGTATTAATACGTCAAACTTTTAAATAGATCTTCGTATATTCTGAGTGGGTTTCATAGAAAACCAATCATAGAAGAAGAAATAGGAGTGAAATATGAATGTTTTGATACTGATCTTACCGTAAAGTATGATTGATGATGGCCAATGCTTAGCTGCCAACAGCGATTGAAAAGTGTAATGCCAAAAAAGAAAATTGTTTAAAAGTTCAGTGGCAAAATTGATACACCTCTAAAGCTTAGTGTCTAATGATGTCGTTTTAGGCATAATAATAGCTCCACCAAAACAATGTCATTTCACGCATCAGAATAGTTGCACCAAAACAATGTCGTTTTGGTTTGGCAGGCCACGTCAACAACTCTTAACTATGTCATAGTCTCAGTATTGATTTAATGGTAGAGTGATATAATTGAATCTAAAACTAAATCAGTGTTATAATTGATAAAATTGAAAGTTCATGATATAAACGAGTTATCGACAAAAGTTAATGGTATCTAAAGTAGTTTTACCAAATTTTTAATTAAATTAAAAATGTTACATCATCCACATTAGAGGCTTTTCCTCTTCATAATAAAAAAGTTTTATATATCTATTCTTAGTAATAATTATTTTGTTTAAATGTGATCATTATTACATAAATAGAATTTTTTGAACGTGGTTTGTAGGTCAAAAATGTAATTAATGATCAATGATTTTTGTTAGCATGTGATTAGTGTAATTAATAAAAATTTAATGATGTACCCTATCTACTGTATACCCTTCAATAGAAACAAATTCCTTATTGTTACTTGTTTTTATAATTTAAATGAATTAATTTCTACCGTTGAAAATTTAACACAAACAAAAACTAAATACTCCATTCTTATCAAATAGATTCTGTCTAAGTCAATTTGATGAGGTTTATCGACGTTTGTCACTTAAAATTTAATCATTTCACCATGGAATTATTCTTTTGTCAACAAGTCTCTTCTTTTCTTGAATTGACATCATTTTGAAGGGCATGATGAGGCTATAAAATAACATTACAATTGTCATTTTTATCGGTCCATGTTACTTGAAATATAAAGCAATCAACAAATTTTTTAATCTCATGATAATATTTTTTAGGTAAATAGAAACAGTTTGTTTTATTAAAAAATAAGATTTTTTTTGTTACTAATACAATCATTTGACATTTAACGTTCACACATTTGATATCCTTAGTGTTCGAATCCGAAACTTTAAGGAATAACAACAATTCCTTTACCACTTAGGTCGTTTGATTCATACAAAATTTTTAATAAAGGTTTAGAACCATAAATATAAATTAATTATATAATTAAAATATTTTTTATAATCATTGACACAGAAAATTTAATCTCTTGAGATCATATAAGGACCATATAAAAAATTAAAAATTTATTAAAAGATTTGAATAAAATATAGATACGTAATTATATCAAAAAATAAACTATAATAGAAATTAAACTACCGAAAGACTATCATAATAGAAAATTCTCAATTGATAGTGTGCATAATTCCTGTAAAATATTCATCTGATCATACCTTAAAATGGCACTAATTAGGACATAAAAAATAACACTCGATTGAAACAGATTCTGATCATACCTTAAAATGGCATTAATCAGTCCAACAACATAAGCCATACTATTAATGGAATTTCATTTATTTTCTATAATTATATAAAATATGAAAAGAGTTGTAGAAGAAATTAAATCTCAAGAGCACAAATCTTAATATTTATTTTCACGTTCATGCAGTACAGTCAGAAACTCACAATTATAAGTAAAAAAAAGCAAACTCATTTAAGGATTGACATCCGTAGGCCACTTATGTTTCACTCATTCCCCTCTACAAACTTCCACTGAATTAATAAAACGAAGCAGCACGTATGAACAAATTTCTTATTATTTTATAAATGACCATGCTTCATTTCCATCAAAAGAAAAAGAATGTAGCATGATTCATGACTAGTAAGTAAATGTGGAACAGTTGAAGCAAATACCATTTGGTCACCTATTTATTTATGTTTAAAATTTATGCGATGGGTAGGGATTGAAGAAGAAGATAGGAGGACAGAAGATCCGTATAAAATAGTATTTTCAAAGGTTAACAGTGAATAAGGCCCCCTCCCAGCTTCAGTCTCAGCCATAAGATTGATTGGACTGTTTTGCATTACCATTTGTTTATAATATTCGTTTTACCGAATAACTGTGCTATAATATTTGTTTAAATTCCATGTTATCATCCAATGTCTTATATATATAGAAAGACAGGGAGACCCACAGACCATGAAACAGCCTCTCCCCCGATAGTCGCGCGCTATAAAGAAAAAGTGTGTGCTTAAATGATGAAGAGAGAAGCTGTCAATTTGGTTTTTAGTATTGCTTTGCCTTGCCCTTCTTTATTATTATGTTTAAAAGTTTTCTGAAGAGGATTAGACGTGTGAACTCCAACAAGAAATCTTGCAGGGAGGGTTCCACCCATAATTATTTGTCTTTCACTTAATTCAGTCACGCTGCTGTTCCCTTTGCTTCTTCCCTATGCACTGTTCTTTCTAGTATATGCACTCGCTTAGAATTTCATTGCCATGATTTTATTACCATCGACTCTTTCCATTCCACCTTCCAACTTTACTACTACACGTTTCCCCTATTATGAAGCAACACGAGACTAATAGAAGATGCATGTGGATATGATTAAAATCATTATAAGAATCAAGCCATTTGTCCTCTTACATATCTTTACTTTGTATTTAAAAACTATAAATAATAAATTAGACGTATGGTATTTATTGAATTATTACTAATATGTTAGACAATACGCGCTGAGAATATAAAAATCAAGTAATTTAAAATTTTATCTTCATTTATTTTCGAATCATATCAAAATTTTAATATATTTTGATAGATATAGAAAGACTTTTTCTTCTTCTTTTTGTCCAATTAAACGAATTTGAATCTTCAAGATCACAGAACGATGGGTCTATTGTTGATTCTAGAGATATCCATATATGGTAGAGAATGTCACAATAGTACAAATTAGTGATAGGAGGAGCTGGTGAGCCTATCAAATTGATTAAGATGGTGGTATGTTGTTGGTTCTTATTCCCCCAAAACTTCAATCATTTTACATGGTACCTGTTTAGTTTTTTTGGGGGGAAATATCATAAATTGTTACAGAAAACACATCGTATGAGACTTCCAATTGGATATTTAACTGAAATGATGGTAGAATCCAATCCAAAATCAATTAATGGTCCCCATTTAGGCCGAGAACTTCCGTTTCTCCCGCCTAACTTTCTCCTTTCCTCTGATTTTTCAACCTCATTGGAAAGCTTGTCTAATCATACCTTCCACTTCATCTCTTTCTCCTCATATTTCTACATTCAGTCATTTCCTCCTTTGTTTTCTTTACTCACTGAACAACAACTTTTGTTTCTGTCTGAACCTTTGGGTCTTGTCTGAACTGTATATGCTAATTCTGGCTTGAAACTCTTCCTGGACCCGGCCTTTTTGCACAGTGGAAGGATTGGGCTGAGTCAGTCTTTCTTTCAGCTGCCTAATTTCTGATTCTGGGAGACAAAAAGGTGAAGCAGGTTGATTATACTTGTATTTCATTGGCTGATGATAATGAAAGTTTCTCGAGGGGGATATACATGTAGTCAGCATACTGGAAAAGGACTGGGCTGAGTCAGTCTGTTGTTTCACTGTTTACCTGATCAATTCCTTTCTACGATTTGATCTCAAACTAATAAAATTAAAGTGTGTTAGGCTTGGACCACATTTTGGAATTATGTATATTCTAGTTTTCTTTCCCCAGTTAAATAGAAACAGAGAAGAAAATGAGAAACACTTTTATTTCTTTTACCTGTATGTTACATTGGACATGACACCCATGTAATTGATATTCTTAATAACAAGATTTTCGATGATGACGCATATTTTTGGCTTTACATAAACAATATTGGATGATCCATGAAGTGAAGGATGCTAACGTTACCTCATTTGTTAGGTCTATAGCAGCCAAAGAGAATTTACAGATCTATAGACACAACCAGTGGGGAGTCACCCTTGTCGACAACAAATGTTTTCGAAACCTTGTCAGATTCGGTTTCGATTTCCACAACATATGTCCCATGGAAGCCTCTGAATTCGAACTGTCCTTGAATATCGATACGTCCGTGAGCATGAGACAACCACTCTTGTTTAAGAGCAAGAAATATCTTACCAGTTTCATTGATCTCACCTTCTGCATCAACCAAATGTGCATTGTCCCGGCTCATGAACAATTCCCAAAATCCCCACAGCATTACACCCTCTACGGCAGGATGTGCAAAAGCTTCTCGAAGCATAACTTCCAAATCCTCCCCTCTAACGTGTTCGTTGACGGAGGACACATCGAGCTCTGTGAACCAGATAGGAAGACCAAGAACACCTAACTTATCCAGGGCATCACTCACAATGGGTCCTACTGGATTATCAATATGTCCTTGAATTCCGATTCCTCCAACAGGGGCACCTTGCTGCTGGAAATCAAGAATTTGTTCGATATACTTTTCGGGATATGATCTGGTGTCACATCCATCTTCAACATGATAATCATTCACAAATAAGGTGGCAGATGGATCAAGCTGATTTGCAGTCTTAAACATGTATGCACGTATATCTTTGCCCAACCGGTCTTGATAAAATGACCCATGCAACATCTCGTTGTTCACATCATAGTGTCTGAACTTTCCCTTGTAACGTGTGAGAAGGCCTGTTAGACGGTTCTGAACAGCAGTCATCAAGTCCTTTTTGTTCAATGCTTGAATCCATTGCTGGACTGTGGACTGTACTTCCCAGAAAATACAATGACCTCGGGTTTCTATTTTATGGTCTTGGCAGAAAGCCAACATATCATCAGCATCTTTGTAGTTGAAATTTCCTCGTTGTGGTTCTGTCCAATACCACTTCAATTCATTTCCAAAAACCGCCCAGTTGAAGTTTTTCAGAAAGAAATCAACAAAATCTTCATTATCTATATTGGTTCTGTTAATGCAAGACCCTATAGGGAAGCTATTTTGTGTTTGTGTGACTTTCACAGAAGTTCCAAACAAACTGCTTGAACTGGATCCTGAGAATTGGAGGATGACATCACGCTTTCGAGTCTACAGGAGACAAACAAAAAGGCTTACGAGTGAGAAGAACTAGGAATACACGAGGCTTAGAGAAAAACGAGGACACCAGTTTGAAGGGAAATGCCTTATCTAGTTAATTAACAGAGAAACCAACCAATTTTCGTGCCATTTCAATTAGGACTAAGCACTAAGCAGTTCAAAATGCATATACCAATGAGGACCCCCACATGGATAAGTTCGACGATGCTTAAAAATATAACATGAAACTAAGTAAAAGAGAAATGGAAATCAGTAAATCAGAATTCTAGAGAAATACTACTGAAAGCACAACTAGATTTTACCATATCAGTTTGCCTAGCCAAATGTTTAAACCTGTCCACGCGATCGACAGGGAAAATCTGAAGTCCGGCAACCATTAAATCAAGACCTGCGGCTGGACCCTGGATATAAACCATAACCTTGGATGGTTGCTTCTCAATTCTAAACGAACCACCAATTTCATGCCATCTACCATCTTTAATCTCAACTTGTCCACCATTGACCCACTGGCCATCCACAGAAAGTGCAACGTTCACATTTTGAGGACCACTTGCTCCGGAACCAATTTGAACCCAAGCAGACACTTGGTATGTCAAGAAAAGTTTCAGTTTATCAGTGATCATCTGAGCTGGCCCCATCCAAGTTTGTGTACGCTTTGTCACCAGGATGTAGCGGCCACTTAAAGGTTCATAGACACCAAGGGAAGCTCTAGCCATTGGAGGAAGTATATGCGGTGAGCCTAATGCAACACTCAAATTGCAGTTACCAAGAGGAAACCATCCATTCGTGCCATCACTTAGTTGACTATTTGTAATTATATTAACTCCATAATCAGGATTCTACGAAAAGAAAGAGTAAAAACACATCAAGAAATCATCACTTGGTTATTTTTAACTATATCGACTTCAGTATGTGGATTCTATTATTAAAAAGTGAATGCTTATATCAATGAGGGTCTTTTTGCAGAAAGCATGCATCGAATCTAAGCATCCGATATCTTCTCTAAAGTATCTGAAAAACAACACAAAGTTCTGAACTGAAATTATTCATCTCACCTCAATAACTGGGGGTGGTGAAGGAGGGATCTTCTCGGCATGTTTTATGCTTAAGACATTGACAAGAATGTCCGTGCCTGGAGGTGGGCCTTCTAAATAGATGACCACTCTTGATTGGGAACCATTTAGTAGGAACTTTCCCTGCAATTGCACCCAATCCTTGTCGGTTGCCTGCACTCTTTTATATGAAAAGAAAGGATCAAGACCTCAGCACCGAAGGAACATATGTGATCTTAACAAGTCAAATAAATCAAATGAAAACTAATGTGTAAATGCTCAGAGATTCCAAGTGGAAAAAACAATAGTTCTAAGGACAGTAAAACAAATAAAAGTACTTACTTGGCTATTCCAATGTACTGTTCGCGGCGATCTGGTGTTTGGACCCATAAAGTGGCTTGTACAGTAGCACTCGTGACATTGTTACCATAAATTCGTACAACAGCCATTACATTATAAGCAAGTTTACGTTGCAGTCTTCCAGTGATTTCCTGCTGAATTCCATTCCAGCTCTGAGTGCGCTCTGTTGCAGATGCAAAAACTTTTCCAGTTTGCGGGACTATCTTCCCATCTGCCATAGAATCATGCAAAACAACCTTGCAGCCTCTTCCAGACCAGTTACTAAGACCATCTACAAATTGAGGATTTATGATGATCTCGTCTCCAGCAATATTGAATCTTTCGCTTGTACTCTTTCAAAACAAAGAGGATGCCAAAGAGACAAAAAAAAACCACTATAAGACGACAGAAACAGGTTTCTCTCCTTTTGTTTTTCACCTTTGCCAGAAGGGGGTGGAGTTAACAAATGAAAATTAAACAATTGATGTACTTTCTTTTGGGTAGTTGAGACTGCTAGATATTAAAATCTAGTCAGCAGAAACAAAAATTTAGCACTCTATGACAGACCAAACATCAGCCGGCTACTTGTAAATGTTTTTGGCATTATGAAAATGAACATGATATAATATTCAGTTAAGAAAAAGAAAAGGATAAAGTGTTGTAAGGCAATGTTACCTCTGACTTGCTTGAACTGGAACAGCTAATAACCACTGAATCAATAAGCAGCTCAACACCGGGAGGAGGCCCTTCCAAATAAAATATAACCCTTTTAGGCACGGTTGATAATGAGAATGTACCTTCCACCATTTCCCATTTCCCCTTTGACACAGAGGTTCTGCAACGACAAAAGCCATTAACAAAAACTTCCTTGTTAAGTTTTGATTCAGAGAAATGTGATGCAAGAAAAATAAAGATCATTACTTTGCGATGAACAGATAGCTAGGTGCTGAACCAAGGTTTACTAGCTTCAAAGTTGCCATGACATCTGTACACACTGAAAGAGGCCCCGGTACTGCAACACGAGCAGAAACCGAGTATGTAACACCCGGGGAAATTCTGCTTGCGATATCTTGCTCCAGACCCTGCCAGTGTTCTGTGCGATCTTTGACAACTGCGTAGTTACCACCTGACTTTGGTGACAATCCCATTGGGTTAGACTCAGCTGATACTACAATGGCATTGCAGCAATTGGGATACCAAGAGTACAGTCCGTTGGAAAAATCATGATTCACTACGATATTAGCAGCTGAATTGGCACTTGGATGGATCATCTTTTGGTTGAAGTTCGGTCATGAAAAGAATAATAGTCAGTTGGGCAATCATAGACTTTCTTGGAATTACAAAAATGAAGAAAAGGATGAAGTGCTGTAAGGAAATGTTACCACTGAATCAATTAGAAGCTCAACACCAGGAGGCGGCCCTTCCAAATAAAATATAACCCGTTTAGGTACGCTTGATAACGAGAATGTACCTTCTACGGTTTCCCACTTCCCCTTTGACATGGAGGTTCTGCAGCGACAAATGACATTAACAAAAACTTACGTATTAAGTTTACTTATAAAGAAATGCAAGGCAATAAAAATAAAGATCATTACTTTCCAATGAATAAATAGCTAGTCGCTGAACCATGATTTTCTAGCTTCAATGTTGCCATGACATTGGTAAACCCCGAAAGAGGCTCAGATACTCCAACACAAGCAGAAACAAAGTATGTACATCCTGGTGAAATTCTGCTTGTGACATCTTGCTCCAGGCCCTGCCAGTGTTCTGTCCGATTTTTGACAACTGCATAATTACCACCCGACTTTCGTGACAATCCAATTTGATTTCTAGACTCAGCTGATACTACAAAGGCCTCGCAGCAATTAGGATGCCAAGAGTCGAGTCCATTGGAGAAGTCATGATTTACTATGATATTAGATGCTCTATTGTCGCTTGGATGGGTCATCTTTTGGTTGAAGTTCTGTTAGGAAAAGAAACAACCACGAAATTTCTTTTGGGTTAAGCTTAAAAACAACAATTATCAAGAAAGCGGTATGTAGACAAAATATTCAGTGAAAGATGAAAATAACACGAGCATGAAATCTAAATGTGATGATAAACAGAAACAGCCAAAATTAAGGAGAATAAAATGAAAATAGATATACATCGAGCCAAAAAAGGAAACCCCAATTGAGGTGGGAATTTGGAAATATAATTAAATATTCTATAGAGTGAAAAAGCGAAGCTCAAATCTCAAGGTTGCCATTGTCAGACTAAATGTAGGCTCTCCATATTTCCTTTTCGATCTCTAAGAACAAACACAAAAACAAAACGAAATGACAATAAAAAAACCCTCAGGTTATCTTGAGGAAACAAAGCAAAAAGATAATTACAGTACCTGAGGAGGACGCTTATGCTTTCGACTCGTGAAGCAGCAAATGGAGAGCCTCATCATTTATAAGGGGCACGCGAGCCTTTATCTTTGCCCCGTTCTGAAAGTGGAGTTCAAGAAAAGCGCGGGACCTGATTAACCCAATCAACCACTCAAACCTTTCCACTCTTCAAGATACAAAAAATGGCTCAACAGTCTGACCCACTTCGCTTTTGTCGAGGTTTAATCCATACAAAACGATCTCTTACCTTCCAATCACAATATAACCTCTATCTTTGCCCCGTTTCCCTGTCATTTTCTTTGTTTTTCTAAACAAGGAATGATTTTGATTGGGATTGAATTCCCCGTTGCTTTTTCTTGCAGATAGAGTTAACCTCCCAATGAGCATTGTCAATGCTTGAATTGGAATAGAAGGTTTAGAAGTGGGGAATCTGTTCATGGATTTTAATGCTTATTATTAGAGCTTGTTTCATGAATCTTAGATTTCAAGGCAGTATTGATTCTTTGCAAAGTTAGGCAGGAGGGGTTTTTAACTTTGCTGTAAAAACCTTACACGTCCTCCTCTAATTTCACTTCAAATCCTAGGCTACACCACTCTAAATTAATAGGGGACAAAAATCACCATATTATTACAAGCTAAATAACATTGTTAACAAAAGGATTAAATGAAGTAAAAGACTGTTCTTTTTGTTGCTTATTTATCCTTCAGATTCCCAGTTTTCCGAAATGCATTCATTGTTCATAGGATATTATTTTTGAAATTATTACTTCATTGAATGAACTTTGGGTTTGGAATGGCGTGTTCCTAGTAACAAAGAACCTTTCTCTTTGTTTCGAGATAAATGTTCGGTTGGTGAGATTTCTGACTCTTGACCTATTAGGTGGACAGACAAGTAGAAACTATAAGTCAATTGTAATCGCCAAAGGCGACTCTCCCTTGTCAACAACAAAAGTTCCGTTGATCTTTGTGGTAGGTGAATTGATTTCTATGTTGTGTGTTCCGTAAAAGCCTCGAAATCTAAATTCTCCTTGTGCATCGATATAACCACGAGCATGAGACAACCATTCTTCCTTAAGAGCAAGATACCTCTTACTGGCAGCATTGATCTTACCTTCTACATTCACCAGATGTGCGTTTTCCCTGGACATGTAAAGCTCCCAAAATCCCCATAACATTATGCCTTCCACTGAAGGATGAGCAAATGCTTCACGCAGCATTACTTCCAAATCGTCAGCTCTAATAAACTCATTGGCGGATGACACATCGAGTTCTGTAAACCAGATTGGAAGACCGAGAGTTCCCAACTTATCTAGGGCAGAACTAACAATCGGCCCCACTGGATTGTCAATGTGCCCTTGAATTCCAATGCCCCTACAGGAGCACCTTGATGTTGTAGATCAAGAATTTGGCGTATATACTCCTCTGGTGATGATCGGACATCAGATCCATCCTCGATGTGATAATCATTAACAAAAAGAGTAGCAGATGAGTCCAGTTGATGAGATATTTTGAACATGGTTGCTTGGATATTTTTACCCAACCGATCTTTATAAAAAGATCCATGCAGCATTTCATTATCAACGTCATAGTGCCGAAAATTTCCCTTGTAACGCGTGAGAAGGTCTGTTAGACGGTTTTGAACGGCAGTAATTAAACCACTCTTGTTAAGCCCTTGGACCCATGGTTGTATAGCATATTCCACCTCCCAGAAGATGCAGTGACCTCGAATTTCCAAGCTGTGATTCTTACAGAATTCCAAAAGCTCATCGGCATCCTTGTAGTTAAAGTTATCTTGTTGTGGCTCAGTCCAGGACCACTTTAATTCATTTCCAAACACAACCCAAATGAAATTTTTAACTAAGAACTGAACTAAGCCCTCATTATCTATGCTGCTTCTTGTTATGCATGAGCCAAAAGGGAAAGAGTTCTGTATTTGTTTGACTTGCACGAAGGCACCACTGGCATTGATGGCCTCTGAGCTGGAGAACTTTAGTATAAGATCACGCTTACGTATCTGCAATGCATATAAAAATGAGTTTGTGATATTCCGTTGACATTATAGTTTGTTATTAGATGTGATATTCAAGATAATTAACAATGTAATGTTTGCATGTAATCAATATGAATAAGGTACATGATGCCACATCTTCAATCACATTATCAATTTCTAAACCAATTGATGAAGAACATAAAAATGTAAAAAGAACTAAAGCATAAGTGTAAAAAAATTACTTTTATGTAATGTTCTAAATACTGGACAGATTCATAAAGGATGAACTAGAACTAAGAAATTTTATTGACATGTCACATCTAATTGATACCCCAAAATTTTTTGTCTAAAAACAATCAAATTGATTAAGCTTAGCAGAAGGCAATCAATGAAACTTGGGGCATATTCTAATACTCTCCAGACCAGCATATTGAAAATAGCTTTTCAACTTGTACCCACTTTGATTAATAACCATGAAGATGAGGTTGCAATTACCTTATCAGTTTGTTTTTTCAAAAGTTTAAACCTTGCCTTTAGATCAACAGGGAAAATCCAGAGTCCAGCAACCATTAAGTCAACACCAGCTGCAGGACCTTGTATGTAGACCATAACATTAGATGGTTGCTTGTCTATTCTAAATGATCCCCCAACCTCATGCCAACTTTCATCGTTAAACTCAACCTGGCCTCCATTGACCCAATTCCCATCGACACTAAGAGCAACATTGACAATCTGAGGACTAGCAGATCCAGAACCAATTTGACCCAAGCAGACACTTGATAAGTCAAGTAGAGTTTCAGTTTGCCACTGATCATCTGCGCAGGACCCATCCAAGTCTCTGCACGATTTGTTACACGTATGTACCGTCCGCTTAGACACTCCTGAAATCCAAGGGAGTTCCTTGCAATTGGAGGGAGTTCAATTGGTGAACCAAATTCCATGCTTAAAGAGAAATTGCCAAGAGGAAACCATCCATTGATGCCATCATCAAGATTGCTGTTGTCAATTATATTCACTCCAAAAGCTTCATTCTACAAAAACCCAGAGAGAAAAACCTTACAGTAATTAAAAACCAGATTTAAAATTTAAACAACGTGCAAATAAAATTACAAATATCACAATATTATGTAAATATCACCTGTGTATCAGTGTCTCATATATTTATACATGTAAGACTATCAAAAGACTTAAGATGTCTCAGCTACTTGTTTACAAACCTTCATGAATGGTCGAAGTGAATGAGGAACCTTCTCAGCATGCTTTACAACCAAACTATTAAAAAGAATATCAGTTCCAAGAGGAGGACCTTCCACAAATATAATTACTCTTAAAGGGGAACCATTAAGGAGAAATTTCCCCTGTAACTGCACCCAGTCTTTGTCTGTAGCCTGTACACTTCAGAACAAACTAATTTTGTATTAGAAATTTGAGGAACTGTAAAAAATAGTGACAATTGAAATACCATATGATGAAATTCATATATGATATATATCTCAAATGATAAAAGCTAAACAGAAAACACAGACGAATGGACGCATGGCATGATATAACGTACCCAAAAAACGTTATAAATTCTTGTAAAAGCCAATCACATAATGCTTTAAAATTGTCCACGGAAGATGCATGAGTAGTGGCAAGTACATACTAGAACGCAATACAATACAAGAGAGCAAAAGACACATACATAGCTATTTTAATGTATTGCTCATGAATATCTGGATTCTGAACCCATAATGTGGTCTGTATATTAGCATTGGTGATATTGCCACCATATATCCGAACAACCACCGTGACCTCATAAGCAAGATTTGGCTGCACTCGACCTGTGATCTCCTGCTCGATTCCATTCCAGCTCCGTGTACGATTTGTAGCAGAGGCAAAGAACTTTGAATATAGAGGAAGGACTTTTCCATCTCCCATTGATTCATGAAGAAGAATATCGCAGCCCTTGCCAGACCAATTACTAGGGCCATCCTCAAATGTAGGATTTAGAATGATGTTATTGCTTCCGTTGGCATGATGGCCTGCTCTTTTACTCTTTATGCACGCAGAGGAAACTATCAATCAGAAGCAAATACCCCACAAACATATATGCAAGAAGCATGCCATAAGTCCCTCGCTTCTTCAGCTTAAGTAGTATTATATAGGTAAGGATGGAGTAACTGAAGAATTCTCTATATGCATTATAGTATAATCGACGTGGTTTCCTACCATAAAAAAGAAAATGCTTAAGGATTTTATGATTTTTTGTGTATTGGCATTTTGACATTGCTCTAAACACACTTAACGACTTTCTTAAGTATCCAATAGTAAGGATTACCAGCTAGATGATCACTATATTAAACGGTCGAGTAACAAGCATGGAATTATGGGAAACGGGAGTAATACCTGATTGATGACGTGAAGTGATGGGTTTGTCTCAAATGCCTGTAAATTTGGAAGATAAGCAGATTCTACCGGGAAACCCCAATGCAAAACCAAAAGGAAAACATGGAAAAGGAGGGAGAAAAAAAAGATCCCCATGAAAAACTGTGAAATGGAGCTGAATTTGGAAAGGTTCCATTTGGCATGCAAAAAAATGGAGAGGAGAAACATCTAGAGTTCTATAAGTTGATTAAAGAATGCTGAAGCTGAGTCAGAAACGAAGTAATGCGTTATGGAAGATAGAGTTTTAAATTAATCAATGAATGAAATAATTCAAACATGGAGTTGCAGAACTTTTTCGTTGTTGAGACTAGTTTCACCTTAAGCTCTGTTTCCACTGTTACATGAGCTCGGCTCTTAGCGAGTGACCGGCACGTGAGCACTTGTCGTTTCCTCGGCCTTTAAAAGTTAATAAGGCCTATGGCTATGGATCAATTGATGTGCCCATGAGGCTTTGCAATTACCATCACATTGTTTTATGGATTGGGTCAACGAGTTTCAACAATAGTACTGTATTTAGATTGATTTTAAATACATATATTTTATATGATGAATTAATTCAACATCAAATTAATTAATAATAGTAATAATTTTAGTTTGATTTCTTATTCTAATTCATTAATTTTAAATTCTAAATTGAGTTAAAATAATATATATATATATATATATATATATATATGTATGTATGTATGTATGTATGAATGAATGAATGAATGAATTTATAGCTATAATCATAATGAAGAAGTGATAATACAAAATGCCATATCGATGAATTAAGCTAATTCGATAATTATAAAATTAAATATTTATATTATTTAATATTTTATAAGTAAAAAATATTAAAAGTTTATTAAATTTGAATTTCCTCATGTAAAGTGGTCATGAATCAAATTTGACAATTTGCAATGTCCACAACAGCCATTTAATTTCTAGAGGAATCATAAAGTTGTTATTGATATTTTATTGGTAGAATAATTTAGTTATTTGCTTTTACAATACTATTCTTTTGAATTGTATAAACAACTAGGTGGAATAGAATTTTATAAAGTTGAGAGAAAAAGATAACACGGTTGAAAGATTCTCATATATTTTGGTAATTCTTTGAAGAGTCTTGATCCTGCCATTTTTAAAATAATATTTATATAAAGTAATTAATATTTTGTACAATATATACAATTTTCCAATAAGTACAACCAAATGTTTTACATGTTATTATTATATTTTTCCCTTCCAATCTAGGATGATCACGGGTCGGTTTGGGCCAATCCGATCCGACCCGAAAATTTTATATCATTCATTCGATTCGATCCGACCAAAAAATATATACCTTCTACCCAACCCAATTTTTTGAGAGAAAATTCGAACCCGATCGGACCGACCCAAATAAAAAAAAAATATTTTTATTCAATAAAAACAGTGACTTAATTGAAAAAAATAATATATAGAGGGTATTATTGTAATTATTCTAAACATATAAGTAAAATTTATTTTTCCGGGCCGGGTCGTTATTTTTTACCCTAAATCCAAATCCGACCCTACCCAACCCAAACCCATTTTTTAAAAATCAACCCGATCGAGTGATTCGGGTCTAATGCTCATCCCCATTCCAATCAGTACACGTCAACCTTTTAGGAAAAAAAGAATGATACCTTACATAAACAAACCAAAGTATATCAAAGGGAAGTTCACGTGCGGTAGTTTAATATACGGCTAAGAAAAACGTTACCGAAAATATTATTATTTTTTAACATTTCCGGTAAAAAATTAACTAAAATTATTATTTCTACCGAAATGTTATTATTGGATGTTTTAACAGGTTTGTTAACATATCCGATAAAACTACTTAAAACATTATTTTTTTCGGAAATATTAATATTGGACACTTTACTGAAAATTAAAAACATTAATGTTTTAGGTGAAAAAAATAATGTTTTAGATAATTTTTTTACCGAAATATTAAAAAATAATAACATTTACAATAACGTCTTTCCTTAACCATATATTAAAACTGTCGTATATAAACTTCGGTATATCATGATCGTAAGTTACGTACATGTACGTTTAATGCTCGTTGAAAAGGAAATTATTATTATTTTTCTATGGAAGGAAAGCAAAAAATTAGAACGGAAAAAAATCAATTGGAGAAGAATTTATAAAAGTTTCAAATGCAATTATTAAAATACACGGTACGTTATTTAAGTCTATAATGACATCTCGATTAAAGTCACCCTTGTATAGGGCTAAGAATTTAGAACATGCAAATCAAGGACTCTGTGGTCGTATACACTAGTACGGATCTAGAAATAAAAAAATGAGATTCAAAATTTTAATACTTTATTTTAAAAAAATTTGGGTATGCAAATTTTCTTATTTTTTTCTATTCCTATTAACAAATTAAACTAAATTTAATACTTTTCTCAAAATAATAGGTGTGCAATGCTCCCAACATCTTTCCCTGATATGCACATCTTGCACGATTTCTCAATGTTCTACAAGTCTCCTATGAAAATAATATAAAAAAAGGCCAACATATTAAATCGAAAATTATAATATTTATTTAATTTAAATATATTAGAAAAATATTATCAAAAATAAACTCGTTTTAAGATCTCTGTACATATAGAATTAAAAATGTTAATGAAACGAAGATAATTTTAATATTGTAAATTGTGAAAATAAAATGATTTTTAAATTTTATAGTTTTGTTAAATATGAAAAGAAGATTCCGCATCCATCCCACTCAATTCATATCCGGTCTAAAACCATAACCATTTCATAAAGAGGAGGAAAAAATGGTTAAATCTCAATTTAAGACTGGGCGAAGGCGTCATGCGTCGGCGATTCGTAACTAGTCAAAAACGTTGAAACTCAGAAAACAACGGCAAGACTGGAGCCCACGGACGCTTTTATCTAGAAAGTCCGTAACCGTAACTATTTAAACAGCTATCAACCCGTTGGTCGCTTTCGTAAAACTCAGCAGAGTATTTGTATTCACTCCTTTTATTTCGCAGCAACGGAATCTAATACCCCCTTCTTTCCATCCTTCACTTAAAATCCAGCTTAATTATCTACTGTCTCTCCATATATATTTTCTTTTTTTGGTTTTGTTCTTTTATCTCTGTATTTTTAGCTTCAATGACGGAAATTGAGGAAATTCTAGAAAAGTGCAAGAGAAGGAAATTATCGATGCAAAAGAGATGAACGATGAAAACAAGAATAATAATACAAACAGGGCCAAGAAGCTGTCTCAGAAGAAACAGAAGAAGAAGAGAAGATCACCGAGTTTTGCTAGATTTGGATGCTTGAAAGTGGAAACTGGCGAGGATGGGGCGTTGTTATGGAAGTCCAGTTTTCAGAAGAGCGTAACCATCCTTCTCATCTCGTTGTCATGGTTAATGGCCTCATTGGCAGGTTGATCCCGAATTATTATTATTATTATTATTATTATTATTTGTTTAAAGCTGCTTGATTGATTTTTGAATTAATATTTGTGCAGTGCTCAAAACTGGAGATTTGCAGCAAAGCAGTTTTTGAAGAAGTACCCGGAAGATGTTATTGTTCATTGTAAGCTATCTTGTTCTTTGAGTTTTGTTTCTTAATTTTAATCTTCGATTACACTGACAACTGATTAATATCAATTTAATTATTTTAATTATCATTGTGTATATTTTCAGAAAACAATGAAAAAAGAAGAAGCTCTATTACATCTAGTCATGCAGAGCTCTAAACGAAGAAAGCATTAGAATCAAATTCAATAAGTTTTGATTTGATCTAGTTTTATTGGGTCAAATTTTTTTTAAAAAAATTAGGTTCGGGTTCGAATGGGCTGAAAAATATCCAATCCAATTTGACCTGAAAAAAAATAATTTTATTTTATATATTTAGTGATAATTGTAATAATACACTCTATATATTATTTTTTTCAATTAAATCACTATTTTTTATTAAAAAAATAATATTTTTATAAATATTATTATTTTGGGTTGAGTTCGGGTCGATGGATAATGTATATTTTTTGGTCGGGTTTGAATCAGAAGGAGAGTGTATAATTTTCGAGTTGGGTCGGGTAAGCTAGAAACCCGACCCAACCCAACCCGACTCATATCCATCCATATTCATGAACCGTTTTAATATTTATTTAATAAATTAAATAAGTACAAACAAAAAATTAATTTGTTAAATGAGAAGTTATCATATTCTTTATAAATTAGTTTATCAGTTTATTTAAAATTGACTTTTTTTATTATAAAATACACTTAAAAATATTTGTATTTATTATTTTATTTATAATATATTTATTAATAATTATTTTTATCAATTTTATATCTAAAAAAATGTACGGGCCTAAGGGATTTGACCATTTTCGGTCTAATGTTAATTTAGCTCCCTATAAGTTTAAATGTCACATAAACTATTTTTGTCTGTAAAATATGAATTTAAATACTTAGTACACCTTTGCATTTTTTAAATTAAGTAATTTGACCTTTTTCAATGTTTGATCCTAATTTTGTCGGTGATGAACATGAAACGTACAAACATATAATTTAAATAAAAATATATAAATATATTTAAACATCTTACTGATATGAATCTAACACAAATGAAACTCAAAAATAAATAAACAAACATAAACAGAAATATTTCATTCAAACTCAGTTTATTTACTACTCTGATTACATTTCTAGTTTTTAAAATATCTTTCTAGTACAAGACAATTCGTAGTATCAACTAGTAACTTCAAGGCAAATTTATAGTTCAGAGTTTGGACTTTAGACCTATTAGGCCTTATAAGTAGGCAAGCCTCATCTTTTATTTGATAACCGAGCACTATCGCACTTAATTTGGACTTTTTCTTTTATGATGGCAACAAATGATTACCTAATTATTCTCATTATATATATCCAAGTCCAACATCTGGATGTCTTAATTTGGTTTCGTCTCTATAAAACCATTCGTAATAATTGATAATTTGGAATTTTGGAAGGTTTTCACGATGAAATAGTTACCGATGGTTTAATGACTTCGCGTATAATGCAGGCAGTGAGCGCAATTCTTTAATGTTGACATTTGATGGTGTGGATGTACAGGGCGACAGGTTAGCGGAGGAGGTATGTTGTGAAACTTTTATGTTAAAAGAACATCGTTTGTATATTCATAATTACAACTCACATTATTTTCTGATGTTGCGAAACTCCTGTCTATATTTGAGAGATAAGTGTTCATTATTATTCTCTATTCCTTTTCTTAATCATTATTATTAAGTCAAATTTAAGGTTGCCATTGCCAATAGGAGAATGATGTTGTGTTTTTCAGGTTAAATCTGTTATAAGCCGTCACCCAAGTGTTCAGAAGATTTCTTTTGTTGGTCATTCATTAGGTGGCCTTGTAGCAAGGTACGCAATTGCACGGCTTTTTGAACAAGATCCCAGTGAAGAAAATTCTCAGACAACTGGAGATTGTACAAATGATCATTTGGGAGATTCATTGCCTGAAGGGAAACTCAAAGGTAACATTGCTGGACTAGAGCCAATGAATTTCATAACTCTCGCAAGTCCGCACCTTGGTTCTCGGTGGCATAGACAGGTAGTTCATTCACCAGCTTCTTTATATGTGATAAGTTAAGAAATGCTAAAAAAGATGCTTCAAATGTTATCATTTTGTTTTCTTTTGCATGATATTTGATGATGGAATGCATATTTATTAAGTTAAAAGCAATCTTCAAAAAGTTCTGACGTAAGATTTCTAGTGTATACATTGAAGAATACATATGTATGTTTGCATGTTTTTTTTAGTTTTTACCTTAAAGGTAGGTAATATTTTCCTTTCGGTGGTCTTGCATTATTAAGGTTCCATTGTTTCATGGCTCCCATGTGCTGGAAAAAGTTGCAGCTCGCACATCATGGTTTCTTGGTAGAACTGGGAAACATTTGTTTTTGACCGATGGAAAAGATGGAAAACCTCCTATTCTTCTGCGGATGGCCAGTGATTGTGAAGATCTTAAATTTATGTGAGTTTTCATGAGCTTCCTGTTGAAAGTCCAAGTTAATTGTCAAACTTGGGGCACCGAAAGTGCACAATTAATGGCACCAAAAAAAAAGTAGCCAATAATTGTGGAAAAATTTGCAAGGGTAAAATTAAACTTTTAGCCCCTTAGACTTTAGGGTATTTACAAATTAGTCCTTATGATTCAACTATAAATACCCTAGCTTATTTAGCTTCAAAACATCCCAAAACATTCTAGCTTTCTTCCAATACTAGAGAGAATTTAGAGAGTTTCTTGAGAGTTGTTTTCTCCTTTTTATCAAGAGAGAATTATCATTGTTTTCTCCTTGGTAGATCGAGAGAGGTTGTAATTCCTATTTTCTCATAGTGAAATTCTTCTACCGTTGCCCGTGGTTTTTACCCTAAATTTTTAGGGGTTTTCCACGTAAATTTTGTCTATTTTTATCTTCATTTTTATTTTCTCAAATTATCAGTTACGATTTTGCTCTATCCGATAGCCGTCTTTCGCAACAATTGGTATCAGAGCTAGATTAGAGTGTGTAATATCTGCTTATTGTCTTTGTGGTTGCCACCAAAAGGTGGATCATCCAACATAAGAAAGTAAGAAGGTATTACCCATTCTTTGAAGGTTCCAGAGAACTATTCACGATAGTGAAATAGTGGGAGCTATCCGTAATAGAAGCTATGACAACGAAATTTGATATTGAAAAATTCAATGGGAGAAATTTCTCACTGTGGAAATTGAAGATGAAGGCCATCATGAGAAAAGACGGGTGTCTAGCGGCTATCAATGAAAGGCCGGTGGATTTTGCAGATGACAACAAATGGAACGAGATGGACGGAAATGCTATGGCAAACTTTCATCTAGCATTAGCAGATGAAGTATTGTCAAGCATCGAGGAGAAGAAGACAACTAAGGAGATATGGGATCATCTCACCAAATTGTACGAGGCCACATCGTTGCACAATAAAATTTTCCTTAAAAGGAAATTGTACACTCTCCGTATGCCAGAATCTACTTCAGTGACAGAGCACTTAAATACACTGAACACCTTATTTTCTCAGCTTACATCCTTAAGCTGTAAAATAGGAGAACAAGAACGTGCTGAACTTCTACTTCAAAGTCTACCGGATTCGTATGATCAACTCATCATCAACTTGACAAACAATAATGTCACCAGTCTAGTCTTCGATGACGTTGCAGCTGCTGTTCTACAAGAAGAAAATCGGCACAAGAACAAGGAAGACGGACAAGTAAATCTGCAACAAGCAGAGGCATTGACAACGATGAGAGGGAGATCAACAGAACGTGGCCAAAGCAGCAGTCACAAACATGGTAGATCGAAGTCGAGAAGCAAGAAGAATTTAAAGTGCTACCACTGTGGAAAGAAGGGTCACTTGAAGAAGGATTGTTGGAATCTCAATAAAAACTCCAATCCACAAGGCAATACCGCAAACACTTCAGATGATGGAGATGCTCTATGCTGTGAAGCGTCAACCACCGTGGAAGGAAGAAAACGATTTGCAGATATATGGCTCATTGATTCAGGAGCAACATATCACATGACCTCAAGAAGAGAATGGTTCCATCATTATGAACCTGTCTCAGGAGGATCTGTTTATAGTTGCAATGATCATGCCTTAGATATCGTTGGCGTGAGAACCATCAAATTGAAGATGTATGATGGAACAATTAAAGTTGTTCGAGATGTGCGGCACGTGAAAGGCCTGAAGAAAAATTTATTATCCTACGGATTGTTGGATAATAATGCAAGCAAGATTGAAACACAGAAAGGAATCATGAAGGTGTTCCGTGGAACGCTTGTGGTGCTGAAAGGCGAAAAGATAGCTGCAAACTTGTACATGCTGAAGGGAGAGACTTTGCTAGAAGCAGAAGCCTCTGTTGCCTCATGTAGTTCAAATTCTGCAATTCTATGGCATAAGAAACTTGGACACATGTCAGAACAAGGAATGAAAGTCCTTGTGGAGCAAAAGCTACTTCCCAACTTAACAAAGGTATCACTTCCTTTGTGTGAGCATTTTATAACAAGTAAGCAACACCGGTTGAAATTCAACACATCAAATTCTAGAGGCAAAAGTGTTATAGAATTGGTTCACTCTGACGTATGGCAAGCACCAGTCACATCCCTAGGCGGAGCAAAATACTTTGTCTCATTTATTGACGACTACTCCAGGAGATGTTGGGTGTACCCTATTAAGAAGAAGTCAGATGTGTTTGCAACTTTCAAAAACTTCAAAGCGCGGGTGGACTTGATTCTGGAAATAAGATCAAGTGTTTCAGAACAGATAATGGAGGAGAATACACAAGCGAAGAATTTGATGACTTTTGCAAGAGAGAAGGCATCAAAAGACAGTTCACAGTGACTGACACTCCTCAACAAAATGGAGTGGCAGAGCGGATGAACAGAACCTTGTTAGAAAGAATACGAGCAATGTTGAGGGATGCAGGCCTAGAAAAATCATTCTGGGCAGAAGCAGTCAATACCGCCTGTTATTTGGTGAATCGAGCTCCATCAACTGCAATAGAGCTGAAGACACCAATGGAGACGTGGACTGGTAAACCAGCTGATTATTCAAACCTCCATGTATTTGGAAGTATTGTGTACGTGATGTACAACTCCCAATAAATCTCAAAGCTGGATCCAAAATCCAGGAAATGCAAATTCTTGGGGTATGCTGATGGAGTCAAGGGGTATCGCTTGTGGGATCCCACTGCCCGCAAAGTGATCATCAGCAGGGATGTTATCTTTGTAGAAGATAAGCTACAAAGAAAAGAAGACGATGATAGCGCTGAAAAGTCAGAGACTACATATATACATGTAGAAAAGGAGGTTGAACAAGGAGATTCTTCTGAAGCAGAACCAGCACATGATGAACAAGAACCAGAGAGTTCTGAAACTCCAACAACTCGTCAATCAGATCGTGTGAGAAGACGTCCCAATTGGCACTCAGATTATGTTATAGAAGGTAATATTGCATACTGCCTTTTAACAGAGGACGGTGAGCCATCAACATACCAAGAGGCAATAAACAGCTCAGATGCTTCACTATGGATGATGGCGATGCAAGAGGAAATCGAAGCTCTTCATAAAAATAATACATGGGACCTTGTGCCATTACCACAAGGAAGGAAGTCAATTGGTAACAAATGGGTCTTCAAAATCAAGCGAAATGGTGACGATCAAGTTGAGAGGTATCGTGCAAGATTGGTGGTCAAAGGATATGCTCAAAAAGAAGGTATTGATTTCAATGAAATATTTTCTCCTGTGGTTCGACTAACAACAGTTCGAGTAGTTTTGGCAATGTGTGATACATTGAACTTACATCTAGAGCAACTAGATGTTAAAACAGCTTTTCTTCATGGAAATCTTGAAGAAGAGATTTACATGCTCCAACCTAAAGGTTTTGAAGAAAAAGAAAAAAAGAACTTGGTTTGTAGGTTGAACAAATCTCTGTACGGTCTAAAGTATGCGCTGAGGTGTTGGTATAAGAGATTTGATTCCTTCATTATGTGTCTTGGATACAACAGACTTAATGCAGACCCTTGTGCTTATTTCAAGAGGTCTGGTGATAACGATTTTGTTATATTGTTGTATGTGGATGACATGTTGGTTGCATGACCCAATAAAGATCATATTGAAGAATTGAAGGCACAACTGGCTAGGGAATTTGAAATGAAGGACTTGGGATCAGCAAACAAGATTCTAGGGATGCAAATTCACCGAGACAGAAGTAATAGGAAGATTTGGCTTTCACAAAAGAATTATTTGAAAAAGATCTTGTCACGATTCAGCATGCAAGATTGTAAGTCAATTTCTACCCCTCTTCCTATTAACTTCAAATTATCCTCCAGTATGAGTCCTAGCAGTGAAGAAGAGAGGATGGAGATGTCTCGAGTACCGTATGCATCAGCAGTGGGAAGTTTAATGTTCGCTATGATATGCACAAGACCAGACATTGCACAAGCAGTGGGAGTGGTTAGTCGGTACATGGCGAATCCAGGCAAAGAGCATTGGAATACAGTGAAGAGGATCCTGAGATACATCAAAGGGACCTCAAATGTTGCATTATGTTACGGAGGATCAAACTTACTAATCAATGGTTATGTAGATTCTGACTATGCAGGGGATTTGGATAAAAGCAAATCTACTACAGGATATGTGTTTAAAATTTCTGGTGGAGCTGTAAGTTGGGTTTCAAAATTGTAGTCAGTCGTGGCTACGTCCACAACAGAGGCAGAATATGTAGCAGCTACACAAGCCAGTAAAGAAGCAATTTGGTTGAAGATGCTATTGGAGGAGCTTGGGCACAATCAAGAGTATGTTTCTATGTTTTGTGACAGTCAAAGCGCCTTGCATCTAGCAAGGAATCCATCATTTCATTCAAGGACAAAGCACATATGAGTTCAATACCATTTCATTCGTGAAAAGGTGGAAGAAGGGACGGTAGATATGCAGAAGATTCATACCAAAGACAACATAGCAGATTTCATGACGAAGGCGATCAATACCGATAAATTTACTTGGTGTCGATCCTCTTGTGGCCTGTCAGAAACGTAAGCAACATGATGGTATAAGGTAGAAAGAATGGTGTAAAGATATGATTGTTCCAATCAAATCTTAAGTGGGAGATTGTTGAAAGTCCAAGTTAATTGTCAAACTTGGGGGCACCGAAAGTGCACAATTAATGGCACCAAAAAAAAAGTAGCCAGCAATTGTGGAAAAATTTGTAAGGGTAAAATTACACTTTTAGCCCCCTAGACTTTAGGGTATTTACAAATTAGTCCTTATGATTCAACTATAAATACCTAGCTTATTTAGCTTCAAAACCATCCCAAAGCATTCTAGCTTTCTTCTAATACTAGAGAGAATTTAGAGAGTTTCTTGAGAGTTGTTTTCTCCTTTCTATCAAGAGAGAATTATCATTGTTTTCTCCTTGGTAGATCGAGAGAGGTTGTAATTCCTATTTTCTCATAGTGAAATTCTTCTACCGTTACCCGTGGTTTTTACCCTAAATTTTTAGGGGTTTTCCACGTAAATTTTGTCTCTTTTTATCTTCATTTTTATTTTCTCCAATTATCAGTTGCGATTTTGCTCTATCCGATAGCCGTCTTTCGCAACACTTCCTGGATTTGGTTACAGCATGTGAGAGCTAATGCTGAACTACGGACTTATAGCTGTATGTTTTCTATAAACTGCAGGTCTGCTTTGCAGTCCTTCAGGCGTCGCGTTGTTTATGCAAATGCAAGTTTTGATCGTATCCTTTTATCCTGCATATATATAAGTTGATACTGTGGTTGTGCTTTATCTGTTAATTGATTCTTGAAGGAAGATTTAAATAGTGGATCTAACTGTAATTTGGCATTAGGAAAGGACTTGTTTCTCATTCCTACCATTCTGTCTGTTTAAGTACTTGACACCTTTCTTAGATATTGTTGGGTGGAGTACCTCTTCCTTAAGGCGTCGAGATGAGCTTCCAGAGGTTACCACGAAGCACCCCTTTTTTTGGCTTTTATCACTTGCCATAAAGTTAATTGTAATGTGGGTTTTTCTTGAATACCAGATTAAACATATTCCAAGAGGTGACAAATACCCACACGTTGTAAATGTGGAGACAGGAAAGACTGATACTCTTGATGAAGTCCCTTACGAGGCCAAAATCAATGGAACTGAGAAGATGAACATGGAAGGTTTGCTTCTTGATTTTATGTTATAAATTACTAATCAAATCACTTTCTATTACAATTTTTTGGAGATCGTCTTAATCCTCTTTCACTGTTTTTTTTTTGGGTTGTTGACATCTTATTTCTTCTGTCAGCCTCTTTATTTTTTTCCCTATGATCTGTCAGCCTCTTTATTTGCTTCTAATTTGGATTGGAAAACTTAACCACGATTTGTCATACAATTTTCAATAGTTTATAGTCTCTAGAATAAAGCTTATGGTCTAGCGTTAAAGGAAGTTCTACAGGTGTAAAATCCAAAGTTGAAGAGTGTCGTTGAAAATGATTAAATGGCGAAAGTGATCCTCCTCTGTAAAGGATCACATGTGCTTGCTAGTTTCCCTATAAGCTAATTGAAAAGGCAAGAAAGAGAAGAGGAAGAAGTTATTCTTCTTCCTTGATTTGGTTGTTTTTAATCTTTGAGCATAGGAACATTTAAAAAAATGAAAGCAGGGGATGAAATAGCCGAAGCAGTTCTTCTACCTTTTTCAGTTAAAAAGTCCTTGCAAGCTATGTTGCTCAAACTACTTATTTTTCTTGAAGTATTTATGTCTGGCACTTGTAGACTGTACTGGTGCATTTTTGGACATGGTATTAGAATATGATCTTCCCCAACCCTCCAAGTTCATGGAAAAACTTATAAAAAATTGAAAATCTCATGTCAAACACATCTGTATTCGAGAATTACATCGAATCAAGTTAGTTACTTTCAATTTTCTTAGCATGGAAATTCTTTTTTATGCTGGAAAGCTGCAAAATACCTCATCCATGTCATCTTTAAAGCTACAAGTTGAGGATAAATAATTGAATAGCTAGACATTTCCCAGTTGACGCAATCTTCACTCATTTTATAATTATTGCAGAGGAAATGATCAGAGGTTTAACAAAAATGAGCTGGGAACGTGTTGATGTATACTTCAAAGGAAGCAAACAAAGACTTCTTGCACACCTTGCCATTCAGGCAAGTGTATCCTTTACCAAATCATTGTTTTGGACGTAGAATCAGATGACCTTGATGGTTACAATCCTTCTCACCCTTTTCTTTCTGTTTTACCATCATACTCTTCAGGTGAGAAACTCTTGGTTTAATTCTGATGGAGCTGATGTAGTCCAACACATGATCGACAATTTTCTATTGTAAAGGTTGCCGATTTGTTTTTATTACTATATGTAAATTACGAATAGCTTATTTGGTCCAATGCGGACGTTGGTTGGAGGTTGGAACTCCAAAGATTAATTTACTTTTGCAGGTTTTGAAAGTGGGGTGTCATTAGCGTTAACCTAACACAGAAGAAGATGGTATCCCTATATGTCGTGAACGTGTTAGAACATTTGCATGTATATTTATATAGCATTTAATAACCGTAGGTGAGCTACTTGTGTTGTGAAGATGGATTACTTGCCATGAATCTGTACCTAATGCTGGAAATATTACTTAGTTAAGTTGGTTATAAAACCTACATTATTTTCAGGCACAAAGAAGAAGTTGTTGGCTCGTTGCAGAGATCTATGTTATCCGACTTCTTTGAAATCTGAAGCCTATACACGAATATGATTTTCTAAATATATGAAAAACCTTTTAAAAGTTTAGTATACTCTGTGTAGACATATATAGATTGACATGGAACCTGGATAATATAGACAAAACAGCTAAAAGGTTGGGAGCAAGCAACTCCACGTAAGTAAGCGTTGGACTGTTGTTGGTGATCTGGATATAGTAAAAAAAATGTTGATTAATTCATGGCGACTAGCCGGTCCCACCCCAGCTCCCTCTCTGTTCCTTGTGTTGGCATTTTACGTTGCAGCTGGACTTTTGGCCCAATCTCCTGCCATTCTTCTAATGCTACTGTAATGGCTGTAAATCGTAATGCTGGTGTAATACTGCACTCAATAAATGGAGAAGGTATCAGTACTCAGAAGTTAAAAGTAAAAGCGCGATTAGAATTTTCTCGTTTCTCGTGAGTACAATCAGCAGAAATTCAGTGTTTGTTTGGGGTAACATTATTATATTATAAAAGAGACTGGTCCATTGTGGTAATTCACGATTGCAGTAAAATGTGGATTTCTGAATAAACATGGGAAATTATGATATCTGAATACAGAAATGAAACTCGTGTTTGAGAACATTGAAATTACTTGTAGGAGCACCGGAGAAATCTGGAAACATAAGCGGTTAAGATTTTGCAAAGTAGATTAAAGAGTGGGTGTGTGTTATAAGGACAGGAGTGTGTGATTGGGTCATTCTCAAGAGCGTGCTTGAGGTTTTCTTTGCAGTTGCAGGTAAAATATTGTGAAGCCAACTCCATATCCTGATCTCTTACATACAAAACCCAAAAATAGAATCCTCCTTGGGAAAATAGTAATGCAAATTCTTTTATCTACTCCTTCCCAAGTGATTGATTTGGCGTGTTGGAGTGGAGAAATTGGAAAGGGTTAATTGCTAAACCCAATAACATCATGGTCATCATTGACGTTACATAAATGATAAAATCACTTTTCGATAGACAACTCTCTATCATTTGGTATTTGTGTATCCTCTTGGTTTTGCTGTTTTTGTTTTCAATTTCGTTCATTTCCTTTGGCTGCCTCTGCCTCTACTGTCAATTCTTTTTGCTTTTCTACCTCGCCTGCTACTGTTACTACACTTATTTTCATATACATATATATTATTTGGTAAGATAGACTGGTTTCTTGGCTCATGAAACGAGGCTGAGGTCCTTCCCTTTTCGCTTGAGGTCCTTCCCCGTTTGCCTTTTAAGCTTCATTTCAGTGCTTTCAGAGATTTACAAGGTAAAATCAGACCATCTTTCTTTTTCTCATGCATTATGGTTGTGGAGGTGGCATTCAAGTACTGAAAAACTCTGCTTGGGGACCTTTTTTTTATTAAAAAAAAAACCAGATTTAGTTACCCTCTACACTGACGACCATATTTAATTTCCCTGCTTTGGTACTGTTAACTTTCACTGCTCTAATGCCCCTTAATGTCTCTCATCTTTTAAGGATTTAAAAATTCACCCTTTGTTCTTTGTGGAAAAAGAAAAAAGATGAGCAGCCCTCCCAACTATGTTTGGTGCCACAGAAATAGACATCTTATTGTTTCCTTGCTGTTTCTTCTGGTTTCAAGCTTCACCCAAGTTACATTCATGGCTGCAGAAGGTAACTTTCTTCTTTCCTTGTCTAAATTTCACTTAACATCCTCCCAATTTAGAAATAAGGAAATGAAAGAAACCCCACTTCATCTTTACACTTGCTTTCATGTTATTCCAGGAAGGTCTCTTTCCAGGTTGCTCGAGGTTGCCCAGGTATCAAGATCAAATTCCCATTTCTTTCCCTGCTCTTTTCTTAACTTCCAATCAGAAATAACAGAATCCAATAATGTTGTATGACACAGAAAGGATTTGAAGAAGAGAAGCCATTGGTGATGAGAAGTCTGATAGGGTCAAGGCCACCAAGGTGTGAGAGAAGGTGCAGTTCTTGCCCCAACTGTGAGGCAATTCAAGTTCCTGTCACAACACTATCCAAAAAAAGGAGAACCCGCCAATTCTCGGCAGCATTCTTCTCGATTTCTTACTCTAGAGGCAATGATATTTCAAACTACAAGTCCATAAGTTGGAAATGCAAGTGTGGCAACCTGGTTTACGACCCTTGATTGAAGTAAAAGTAAACCATGGTTCGTTGTAAAAGCCACCTCTTTTTTTTCCAACTGTGGATATAAGAAAAAAAATGACTTCCAATTCTTACATAATCGTTTTCACTCTCCTCTCTTGCATGGTAGAACTTAGAAGATATATCAGATATGGGTTGCCATAATGTAAAGCGTTTCTACATTTTTCTTTCTTTGAATTTGAGCTTGACTGCAACATTTTTTGCCCTTTATTTTATGAAATATGTTGCCTTTTTCCTGCAAAAGATTGCAACACTTTCTACATATTACCCTTAACTCGAGATTATTAAAGTGTTATTAATAAATCATCGTTTATACTATTAAATTTTACCCCTTTTTTGAGTGGTGAGATGAGATCAGAGATTTATTAATTTTGATGAAAAAGTGACGACATTTGTAATTTAAAAGAGATAAACAGGCAGACAGTTATTTCCTATGTTACAAGATATGTAAGCTTAGAGCCTTAGAGGTTTAGACCCTGTTCTTCCTACTGCATTTTAGACAATCCCGCCTCGAAGGGATAAATACCCAACGTTATTCATGATCTCATTTCTTCTTCTTTTTTTATGTTTTTCCTATTAACCCTGAGATTCACCACCATTAGCAATGGATCAAAGTAACAATCTTCACGTGCTGTTAAAGTTGATTGAATTGAATACATCCTTGTATTGGTGAAAAAGAAAAATTGCTTCAACATGACAAATATAATAATAATTAAAGATTGCATCCCAAGGTATGGACCATGCTTTTCTCTGAATCTTCTCTTAAATTATTTAACTGCCTCAGTTGAATCTTTACTTGTAAAAAATAAGTGGATGAATTGTACATCAGTTGTCTGCTTCCATTCTTGTAAAAGAGACTGGGAAAACATTAAATGCAGAGCATTGAATATGGGCCTGAAAAAAAGATCGCAGAGAGAGTAGTGAAGGAAAGTTAGGGACTCATCATCTCCATTCATTAGTTTCTGCAGAGCTGCTATCTGCATCCTTTCCTTTCCTTTCCTTCACTAAGATCAAATTTGATATTTTGATTAGAAAAAGTTGTCATAAAAAAAATGGAGAAAAAAAGAACCCAGAGGTTTAATAAATGAGCTTGAGCACCAACTGATGGCTGACACGACCAAGGAGTCTCTTGTAGTTAATAAAATTTTCCAGCAATATGTCATTCAATCAATCATTTCTAGTAACATGCATGAACAAGTTCAAAAAATAGTTTGAAAAGATGGGTAACAGCTATTTTGTTAATACGAGAAGGGGTTGAATTAGTTAATATTTTATGCATGCACTGCATGGTAAAAGATCAAACTTTGTTAAAGTTTTTCAACTTACATTTTCCTGATTTTGAGAAGTAAAAGTAGCTTCATTTACCTATCAACTTGTTCTGTTCTGTTTTCATTCCATATCCTTTTCAGCCACCTCTCTTCACTTCTCCATTTTGATGGCTATATTCCATCTTATTTACCAGGCCTTTTCTGATCTTACCAGTTTATTGGATAAAGATTTCCTTCATAAATATTGCTGTTGCCACTGCTGCGTGCGAAAGGTACATATGTTGGGACCGTCGGCGCACCCCATGACGCAGCGGAAACAAAATTTGACGGTCTCACCAGTGATCGAAGTACGAAAAATTGAAATCGGGAAGAAGAGATGCGAATACTTACAGTGGGTTCCTTGAAAAATAGCAAGGACAACAGTGAATACTGGTGGTGTAGATCGGTTCGAATCTTAAGCCTCCACGAAATCACGTCTCGGCTCTACTCAGTTCACTCGATTTAGAGCAATCTTTGTTTTCCCAAAAAATCTTTTGAGAGAAAACGGCTAAAGTTTTTAAGTGTGTGTTGTTCAATGGCTGCTAGACCTAACACACTCTTTTATAGCCAAGTTACCCGAATCATATTAGAGTTTTATTATTTCAAATTAATTAAATCTATATTTAATTAATTGAAATTTAATAATCCTCTTATATTCAAGTTACACAAATCATATTAGGAATTTTATTATTTCAAATTAATTAAATCTATATTTAATCAATTGAAATTAAATATTCGGGATTATTAAAACATATATTTAATTAACTCTAGATATATATTTTAGTTACATACAACAATTGTACATCTTTGCTCGTTTCAATCATAGAGTGTGACCTTGTAGGTTCTTGTAACATTAGCAGTAATTATTAGAACAATTCTAATATTACCTACAATGAGTGACATCTAGCAATATATCATTGTCACCTAAGTTACAAGAAAATATGATTCGACATATCATCTTAGTGATTACTCTTTAATGTATTACATCCTTATGTCCTTTATATCTAGAATATGCACAAGTCTTGGAATAATCACACTTGTATAACCCATCTATTGTTTCTTGATATCTAGAGTATACTTTAATTAACGAATAGTTTATGATATCTCATATCAACTTATTCGAGCATGGCCATGCGTTTCTAGTCTTACTCAATCAAGTGGCCTGTGATATATTTCCTATTATGTAGGAAGGACAAATCCTATCTTAATCATACACACACTACATATATTGAGATATATTCAATAACAGTCTTTATAGAGCAACCAGTTACGGAGCTTGTTTAGCTGCATCAAAACATACAACTATATGTTGGGATAGTATTGATCTCAAGTCTGGATCATACATATAGTCATCACTATGAGCAATGTTATGACTGTCACATAATAATCCAAGACATATGCTCATGGTCGGTCAATCCAATACATTGTTCTCTAACAATATAATCATGTATCAACTCTGACATCTCTATGTCAATGACAACTCATTGTCATCAATCAATAACATGTTAGTCTTAAGCGTATTATTATTGTCCATGCCCATAATAATACTTGACTAAGGATCTTTTAATAATAATAATTATGTCATTATATGGACTTTATTATCTTTCAGTTTATGTTAAACACATATATATAAATGAAAATAATAGCGGTAACGCCTTTATTCAATAAAATCAGTAAATAAAAGTATTATTATCATCTTCATATGATTAGTCTTTGTATACTCTAACAATATATTCTCTTGGATATGCGTGAATCCAGATTCCAGGTTACAGAAAGGGATATTGCTTTTCCTTATCAAAACCAACTTTTTCATCAATGCCTTTTCAAAACAATAAAAATATGTCTCGGGACATTCAATCTGCCTTAAATCACCTCACTCTCTCCCTCTTGCTTGTCAACATCTCCCACGCATCTTTGGCCCAATATGATCTCCAATACACAACAAGAAATCTCGCAGCCTCATCAACTTCCTCCTCGTCTAGCTATGCCCGTCTAAGCTGAACATGCATTCCCCTCGCAACACATATTTCTGCATCCAAGCCATCCATAAAAAGTTGGCACAAATTAGCAATTGTCAAAGGTTACACAACATACACGTCTTATTCCAAGACAATAGTTCCCTAATCCCTAAGCCCCCTCTTTTTTCGGGTGACTTATATGATCATTGTTAACCTTCACCCTCATTATGTCCATATTTTTTCCTTTCCAGAAAAAAGAGTTACATAGGTGAGCAATCCTCCTCAATACATTTGCTGGAAGAAAAAAAATGACACAAAAACGTTTACAAACTAAGCACCACTTATTGGATCATAAGCTGGTGACGACCAGCAAAAGAGAGCCTCCTAGCTGCCCACCCTCTAATATGACTCCTGACTTTATCCACGAGAACATTACAGTCAGAGCTTTTGATGCTTCTGGAGGTCAATGGCACACCCAAATACCTAACATGCAACACACTCAGCCTAATCTCTTCGCTCCTAACAATGACATCCATACAGGAAGAATGGACACCAACACTAAAAATCTCCGTTTTTAATGATGTTTTAATGATGTTTAATTTAATTTGATGTACTTTTTTATTTTATACATATATATCAATAAATGAACAATTTTATTATTATACTGAGATATTAATTTCTTTTACTAAATCCAAATCAATCCAAAACTCAAATTCCATTAATCAAACCCTGTCAATGATTCCCCTACCCCACGGCTCCAAGCCTCCAACCATGCCTATATATGATGATTGTCTTCCTCTCTAAACTCATTATCGTTTCTTACCATCCTCAAAGCCAGTTTTATTTTTCTTCATCTGCCTTCATTTTACCCTTTGTTTCAACTCATTATCATTTAACCCTCGAGGCTGAAGAGATGGCCAAAGAGATGCAGAAGACTAGCATGTTCATAGAGAGAAACCCTGGAGATTATGAGAATGGTGATATCGGCAAGAACTTGGATGTCGATGATGATGGTCGAATCAAAAGAACCGGTACTTATTTGTTTTTTTTTTCTTCCCTTCGAGTGCTTATCATTGTTATCCTTCTTTGCATGGTTTCGCTTTGGTTATTGGTTTTTTTTTTAAGGGACTTGGGTTACTGCAAGTGCTCATATTATCACTGCCGTGATTGGATCTGGAGTGCTATCTCTTGCATGGGCTATTGCCCAATTAGGTTGGGTGGCTGGACCGGCAGTTCTCATGGCTTTCTCCTTCATCACCTTCTTCACCTCCACCCTTCTTGCTGATTGCTATAGAGCTCCTGATCCTGTCCATGGAACAGAAACTACACCTACATGGATGCTGTTAGAGCTTACTTAGGTACCACATTAATACCTTATTAAGTGATTGTTTACAGTTCCAAGAAAATACAATATTTTAAAGAGAAACTATTTCTCTACGTAGATAATTCAATCCATTCCCAAAATGCCGCAGAAACCATTAATGGAACATCAAATTCAATGCTTTATCTTTTTGCAGGAGGAAGAAAAGTCCAACTATGTGGATTAGCTCAGTATGCAAATCTTCTCGGAATAACCATTGGTTACACTATCACAACATCAATTAGCATGGGGTAAGTTTGAAATTCTCCTGCATGTTAAATTATTGGAATTTTAGCGGCAATTGTTATATTAATTGTTTCTTTTGATGTCTCTTATTTTCTTGTATTCAGGGCTGTCAAAAGGTCAAATTGCTTCCACAAGCATGGCCATCATGTGAAGTGCCACACATCGAACAACCCTTTCATGATTATCTTCGCTTGCATCCAGATCATTCTAAGCCAAATCCCAAACTTCCACAATCTTTCATGGCTATCGATTCTTGCTGCTATTAAGTCTTTCGCTTATTCTTCCATTGGCCTTGGACTCTCCATCGCCAAAGTTGCAGGTAAGTTCAACAG